TCACTAATGCTGTTCGTTATGAGCGACATATCACTGTATCACCTTATTGTCCTCGATGTGATGATGTAATTGAAACTCCATTGCATCTCCTACGAGATTGTCCATTTGCAGTTCAGGTATGGAATAAAGTTGGCTTGGGGGGACAGGATTTTTTCCAATTGCCCTTATCAAAATGGATAGAGAGTAACTCAAGAAAGCTAGCCTTGGTGCAAAATGGAGGTATGCCCACTGATATTCTTTTCCTCTCCACCATATGGCAATTATGGAAGTGTAGGAATAATATGATATTTAGAGCTGCTAATTTGCCAGCCCCAAAACTTTGTGATCTTATAAGTAGCTATGCACTTGATACTTATTAGGCAATGGCCAGCAACATATTTGTGCAAACAAAAGTTCCTATTTGGATAAGTTGGCACCCACCGGATCCACCTTTTTGCAAGTTGAATACGGATGGCTCTAGAATGCAGGAGACAGGATTGGCAAGTACAGGTGGATTGTTGCAGGATTCTTCGGGAACCTTTATTCAAGGTTTCTCAGTGAACATTGGTCAAATCTCAGTTTTCTTGGCAGAGTTATGGGGTTGCAGGGAAGGACTGATCTTGTGTAGGAACAAAGGGATTAGTCATTTAGTCGTGGAGATGGATTCCTTGTCGGCGGTGCAGGTTATTGAAGGATCCAAGGAACAGGATAGCCTAGCAGCAGTGCTGGTGGAAGACATCCGTCGTTTGAGAGGAGGATTTATTGCCTTTAGCATACAACACACCCTACATGAAGGTAATCGTGCTGCAGACTTTATGGCTGAAATTGAGCATAATTTGCCTACTGGAACCACAGTTTTTTATTCGCCTCCACTTGGTCTCATCACTTTCCTGGAAGCGGACACGTTGGGCGTAGCATTCTTGCGTCATTAATGACTTAGCTTTATCAATTGTATCAAAAAAAAAGAATAGAAAGAGTAATAATAAATTCTCATAATAGCAAGGTTGCAGTTTTATTTATTTTTTTTAACTAAACAAAATACCTAACCTATATGGATCCATTCGTTTAGCAAGGCATTTTGATGTATATAGAAGCCTTCCCCTTGACAAACTTTAGAGGTGCTTGGCTAATAGGCCTTTTGGAGTCAATGGCTTTATTTGGAAGTGTTACATACAGTGCTTCTTCTCACAACACATTGTTTAGAAATATATATTTATTATAAATAATTAATTTAATTAATATTCTATATTTTTAGTAATTTTAATGAGTTTTATGTATTTTAATTTGGATTACACATTAATGAATAAATATAAAAAAGTGTTTTATTAATGATATTTTAATAATTTTAATGTTGAACTACATTTTTAATACACAATTCAATAAAAAAACATTTTTTAAAATTTTAATTAGTATTTTATATTTTTTATATAGAAAAAAATTACAAAAATAACAAAATACAATACAACACTTTCCAACGAAGCCTCTATTTTCCTTCTTTTATTCAAGCTTTGTAACCTTGGTCAAAGAAGAAGTTAATTAAAATAAATTTCCACTAAAGCTCCTAATCTATCTTCGGCCCTATGAACTTAGAACTTATTATAGTGATGGAAGTCCAAGGTCACGCACCTCAGACAGGCTAAGATATCCTAGGAAACCTCGAGTGGCCTTTGATGAAGCTTGATGAGCTCAGTTCAATTCGAATTCATTCCTTCTACCCTTACTCTATGGTAATTCTGTATATACACAAATTTTTTAAGAGAGTTTCTTACGATCGTTGACACATATGATCTCGGTCATCCGCAATGAACAACACGTGGACACTCTTTTGAAAGCTATAAATGCCCCAGAAAGGTCCTCCCTTGAAAGTAATTGAAGTTGACCTAGAACTCTTCTTTGCTTTCTTTCTACCAAACTTGATTATTACTAATTTAAGCATTGGAGTGTTTACTCCTGGGATCAACCTCAAGGCTTTACAAGTTAATCAAAAAGCAGGTTTGGGTTGACAAAGGATTTCGAGTTTCCCGCACTTACAATATCTATTAGCACTGAATAATATGGTTGGCAACTAGTGTCATCTCCACTCTGTAGCTGAATCAAAAACTTATAAACGTTTAAGCACGCTTGGACCAACCTCATCTAATAGTGTGTGCCACTTTAGTAGCATCAAAATTCAAGATTTAAATCTTAGCAACGAAACAAATTTCTTGGCCATATAATTACCTTTAGTTAAATAAAAAAAAAAAAAGTTTTAAACATGCTTGGTTGTCTACACAATGCAATGTTATCATTATCCTTAGCAACGACAAATTTCGCCCCCATGCAATTGCCTTTAGTTCAAGAAACAAAAAAATGTTCTAAGCATGCTTGTTGTGTTGTCTACGCAATGCAATGTTATCATTATCCTACCAAAATCATTAAAATATTTTAAAAAATTATAAGAGTTTTATTATTAGTTAAAACTATAACTTGATTAAATTCTAAGATAAATGAAGAAAGATTTGCGAATATGGGAATTATTTTCTATTACATAACATATTTCTCACATTAAAAAAAAAAAAAAAGGAAACTAGAGTTGTGCTGTACCGTTTTGATGGCAAACCGGCCGGTGTGTATAACATTGCGTTTACCCGACCCGATTCAGTCAACCAACGTTAGGTGAAGGTGGGATCCTCTTCACATTCAAGCACATATCATCTGCAACCAATTCCATTGGACAACAACTTCCATGCTAACATCAGTGGCTCACAAATAGGTCAAAACTTTGAAAACCCCTTCAACGAAACAAGCTCACTAGATCTAAACCTTATCTTCACATTCCCCCCCCATTTAAATATTCCGCCCTTATCACCTTCACCTACTCCTCCCTATTGGTGGAGCCAATAGTACGTCAGCCCACCAACTCTTACCCACCAACCCACACCCACCTTTTCCTTCTCCATTTTAAGTCCAGAACCATAACTCCCTCTTTTACCCTCCCCGAAACGTTTTCATTACAGGCACCAAACCAGACGATAATGGCGTCCGAAACGCCACCCAACTTCTGGGGCGACATGCCGGAGGAAGAGTATTATACGTCGCAAGGGGTGCGCAACACCAAGTCCTACTTCGACACACCCAATGGTAAAATCTTCACCCAGAGCTTTTTACCGTTGGACAAGAAGGTTAAAGCCACAGTCTACATGACGCACGGCTACGGATCTGACACCGGTTGGCTGTTCCAGAGAATCTGTATCTACTATTCTACTTGGGGTTACGCCGTTTTCGCTGCTGACCTTCTTGGACACGGTAGATCGGAGGGCCTACGTTGCTACTTAGGTACGGAACTCACGTTTCTCTTTTTCTTTTTCCTTACAAATCTGAGTTAAAAGTCTGAATCGTGACAGCAACAGGTCGTACTCGTACTGCCCTAAAATTTCGTTTCTTTGAGTCAAAAGGATATTTAGATTAACTGTTTAAATATAACTGATAATTGATAATTAATTGCTGATAATTTTGGATATTCAGGAGACATGGAGAAAATTGCGGCAACATCCCTGTCGTTCTTCAAGCACGTCCGCTACAGCGAAGAGTACAGAGATTTGCCGGCGTTTCTCTTCGGCGAATCCATGGGCGGATTAGCAACGATGTTGATGTACTTTCAATCGGAGCCAGAAATGTGGACTGGCCTGATTTTTTCAGCGCCACTCTTCGTGATGCCGGAGAACATGAAACCCAGTAAGGTACGACTCTTCATGTACGGTCTCCTCTTCGGGCTGGCCGACACATGGGCGACGATGCCGGACAACAAGATGGTCGGAAAAGCAATCAAGGACCCAGAAAAACTTAAGATCATCGCGTCGAACCCGAGGAGGTACACGGGACCGCCGAGGGTTGGGACGATGAGGGAGCTGTCCAGGATGTGCCAATACATACAAGATAATTTCTCAAAGGTAACGGCGCCGTTTCTGACGGTGCACGGGACTTCCGACGGCGTGACATGTCCAACGTCGTCGCAGCTGTTGTACGAGAAGGCATCGAGTCCGGACAAGAGCTTGAAGATTTATGAAGGGATGTACCATTCTTTAATTCAGGGGGAACCTGATGAGAATGCTGAGATCGTTTTGAGGGATATGAGGGAATGGATTGATGAGAGGGTTGAGAGGTATGGGAAAAAGTGAAAACAAAATGTTTAAAGGGAAATTTGGAGTCAATCATGAAAAAGAGAGAATTTTTAGTAAACTTGTAATAAAAACATGAGAAGAATTTACGTTATTTTTTTTTTTGTTCCAATTCGCACACTTAATAGTGTAACTCTTTTATTGAACGATTATAAAGGGCACTTCCACAAAATAATTCGATGGATTAAATATTTTATTAATTTGGATTATATATGTTAATTTTTTTATTTTAAATTTATTTTAAATTAATTATTATTTTTTATTTTTAAAGTAAATAAATATTTTTTTAATTTAATTATATTATTATATTGTAAAAAAACTTTTTATTTTTCATTTTTATTTTTTTAAATGATAATACAAGAGAACATATAAATTATTATCAAATTTTTAATTCAAAGAAAAAATTAAAAAAGTATAATTATTTTAAGGCATATAAAGTAATATTTTGATAAAAATGTATATCATATCTTTAAATTTACTTTTAATTTAATAAATTAAAAGTAAAAGACTTCAAATTGAAGATTTTAAATTTAAATTTGAAGTAAGGAGAAGAAAGATTTAAAAAAAATTATTTTTTTAGCTTCTATTATCATATATACAAAAAAAAAATCATATCTTAAAAATACATATTTAAATAAATAAATAATTTTAAAAATTAAAATCATTAAAATACTTTTAAAAAAAAATACACAACTTAACGCACTTTAAAGCCCAATATCTTAAAACACTCCAAGGCCCAATATCTTAAAAATTCAATTCTTAAAACCCAATAGTAGTTGTATTAAACCTATTGTTTTCACTCATTTTTACAACAAATAAAATGGTGTTGTGCCTCATCCATATTGGTAAGTACTTTGTTTGTTGGAGAATCATTTTGTTGATATAGATTTCTCTCAGATAAAACTCAATTGGTTGTTTTCACATTATCAACAAATAGTTTGGTTCTTGCATATCTTTAGTAGCATGATCAGCAGCATTAACGAATTAGTTAATTTGCTACAGATTTCATACTACTGTTAGTTTTTCAAGATGCTGCTATAGATCTCTAGCATGTTGCCAAGGGATATTTGTTGCTATAAATACTTGATGATGAAATTAATCAAGACAAGAATTGCCTTCACACAATAAGCCTGCGTTATCTACATTTCAATTTTCACAAGTAATGTCTCAGTTTAAATCTAATATTTTTTCAAACAACTTTCCTAGTTTAATTTTTAGCTCTACGTTGCCACTAAGTTTAACTCTAGTTTTAGTTATTTTATTTTGAACATCTCCACTGAGATATTTGATTTCCTACAATTCAATTTATTGCATTTTGCTCTAAATTCATTTTCCTAACTTCCTTTTAGTTTTCTGCTTCCTTGATTGCATAGCCTTTATTTCATTCTTTATGCTTGCATATTTTTGCGGTGACATTACACTTCCTTCTTGCAATTTAATTTTCCTGCCATGCATTCTCTTTCTTCTATTTTCCTCTATTTTTCTCTTTTATTTTGATAAACAAATGAACATTTTAGCCTTAATTGTGGGAGGTTCTTCATGTTTTTCCAAAGCAATTATTCATAGATCTTTATGTAAGAATATGTGTCCTTGTTCCTATGACAACCGTCTGATTAAGGCTCACCTCATAATTTATTTAAGCAATGCTCTTTTATCAACTTGTAATGGAGTTCTACACTTGAAAGTAGTAAGGATTACTAAGAATCTCTTTTTCTCATTTTGAGCAAAGTGACACAACTTATAGTCCTATTTGCTATGTGGCCAAAAAGAGAGATTTTAAAGACAACACATGTAATTAAATGAATCCAAATACCTTAATTTTATTTTTTTTTTAATCTTCAATCCTGATTACCAATTTATGAGGATGGATTTTGCTGCATACGCTATGACATTTCCAAATGTGCACTAATTACAAATAGATACCCAAAAAAAAAAAAGTATTAATATTCACGTCTTCCTCCTAGTTTCTCTCCCCTTGCACTTAATAATATTATAAAATATATATATATATATATATAAGTTTTAACTCTCAAAATAAAATAAAGTCTTATCCTTAAATTATTTAATTTTATTTAATTAAAATTTAATTTAAAATTTTAAAATTTTGTTTTATTAAATATTGATAATTAAATTTAAAAATTAATTATATTAGAATATATAATTAATTTCTAAATTTAGATATCAATATTTAATAAAATAAATTTTTTAATTTTAAGCTAAAATTTCAATTTTTAAATATTAATTAACATTGTAATTTCTTTTAAAGTCAAAACTAAATCATAGTAACCTCTAATATTATTTACTTTATTTTGCAATACAGTTTGTATATAAGAGGTACAAGACGTTAAAATGATAACTTTTAGGAAACGAGAGCCACAATAGAAGGTACCTGTTATTTATAGTGTCATTCTTCAATCTTCATTTAAGATACTAATATACTATCTTCTTGAAATGTAGACATATTAACAGCATATATACTATTTTTATAATTAATAACATGATTATAATATATAATATTAACAATATTAACTAAGTCATATCAGGCATGACATGTGGTCTTTTTTGTGTTTGTATATTCATATATATATATATATAGAGAGAGAGAGAGAGGAAAATGGCCTTTTTATTTTTTCACATAAAAACATATTATTATATATGTATTTTTTTAGAAAAATATATACATCAATATCAACTCTTAAAATAAATTAAAATCTTAACTTTAACTTATGTTATTTTATTTACTTAAAACTAAATTCAAAATTTAAAAACTTATCTTATTAAACATTAATATTTGATTTAAAAATTAATTATATTAGAATATATAATCAATTTCTAAATCTAATTATCAACATTTAATATAGTTTCAAATTTTGAATTGAGATTTTAATTTCTAAATGTAGGTTCAAACTCTAATTTTTTTAAAAGTTGTGATTGATACACACTAACTTCTATTTTTTTATATATTTTTATAATATTTTATGCGCTCCTATGATACAAGTTTGATTTCTCAAAAGAAATAATAATATTTTAACACTTTTCTAATATATGCCCTTAATAAGAAAAATTGATAGATATAATATTTATATCCAATGATTAATTTTTTAAAATATTAATTATAAGTAAGTTTTTAGTCTTGTACAGGTCAATCTTTTGTGTTTTTTCTTTCTGAAGAATTGCTTAAAAGCTCCACTTGTAATTAATATTTTAAAAACTAACAATTAGATTAAATAT